AAGTGTGCAATCCGCATGAGCAAGCAGCCTGTCAGCCAGCAGTGGCAAAGCAACGCGATCCGAAACCAATGGAGGGTAGCGGGGCCTGTCTCTTGGCCTGTTGAGAAATGTTTGTACCTGCTTGGTGCTTGTTTTGGCACGTTTCAAGAATGGCTGAAAAGTATTCGGTTTTGGATGAAAGGAAGAGTATTCGGTTTTGGATGAAAGGAAAAGTATTCGGTTTTGGATGAAAGGAAAAGTATTCGGTTTTGGATGAAAGGTTCTGACGCTGAAGACGCTGGGTATCCTGAAGAAGCTTCCTAAGCAAGCCGCTGTAAAGGGAAGCCTTTCTTTCGTTCAAGGGCACGAGGGCCAGCGGGAGTTTTGCTGGCAACTGGACCACGGCAGAGGCAGCGCTGTGCGAATTGGACTGTTTGTGAAGGCAGTGGACGCAGTGGTTGCTGCTGTTGGCCCGGACGCGGCAGCGACCTTTGGGGAGCTATGTGCCCAGGCAGGCAGCTTGTAAAGCCCTTGTTGGGGCAACTGCTATTGTCACTTTTACCTTGCCTGCTTTGCTCGTAAGCCCGGTTTCCTATTCAGACAGGTCAAGCGGGGCAAGAAGGCAATCAAGGAGCTCCCCTTCAAGCCACCTTTCTGGAATAAGGACGGCAGCAACTATCACTTCAAAGCGACGTTGAAGTCGTTCCTGTCGGACTTGGCAGCTATGAGCAACAACCAGTTGAAGCTCGATAAGAACTTGACACTCAACAAGCTTGTGCACATGAACCCCGACATGCAGGCTTTGGATACTCTTTTCTTTTTAGCGGGCCAAGCTCTGTTCAAATAGCAGGGGTTGTAACAGATCGTTTCATGAAGGCTGCACCAGCCTTGTCCATGAGGGTCCTTAGCCCACTTTTACCACAAGTTGCTTCCACAGCTTCACAAACAAAACTTCCAAGCCCCTGGCCTGAAACGATGGAATGGCACTTAGAAGCATACGTGCGCTAGTGGGGGGCCCCCCAAATAAGTTCAGCTCAAAGACCCATCGTTTCAGGAAAGGGGCCTGGAAAGTCAAAGAAGCGCTCCCCACTAAGCAGTGGAAGCAACTGTGGTAAAGGCTCTTGAATTTACATACCCCAGCACTAGCAGAAGCAAAACTCACAACAGCGTACTAAGGGAAAATCTGCACACCCCATGTGAAAAGTAAAGCTGGCAGGCAAACCTGGTGAGGATCAGGGCGAAGATGCTGGACCAGGGCTTCAGAAACATCACCCCGAAGCAGTTCTGTAAATACCTTGGCTGTGAGGCTGACCCAGGGGCAGTGTCGTATCTAGCTTGCACTGCTGGGGACCGATCCTTCCAGCCAGGCGATTTCCGCAACTTCAATGTACAGATTTGGTGGAAACTTGCCACGCGCTTTCAGAAACTGCACGGCTGTGAGCCCCATCCGGCTCTGGTTGCAGTCATGGCCCGGCAGCTAGCAGAGGACTGAGGCCAGAGCCCTTGAGGTCCAGAGTCAGGCGCCTGGCAGGTTGGAGCGCCCAGCAGAAAACACAGCAAAGGATCTCGCAGTGCCGTGCGCAAACTGCTCAGCAAAACAACAATACTATTTCTTGCAACAAAGTTTGGTCTGCAAATCGCTTTTCCTTCTTGTTCATTGGCTCATTGACTCATTGACTCATTGACTCAGTGACTGTGGCTGCGCTTGCGTTGAAGCTAGCTTGGCCATTCAGTGCATGACTCTGGGCTCTGGGCTCAGGAACTCTCCTACATTGGCATGCACACATGATTGTTTGGACTCAGATCTTGAGCTGCTTGGACAGTGTTACCGCTGCATCCTTGCCGATGCACACCTTGAGCCTGAGGATCTTGGAAGCCTTTGTAGCCAGGACTCTCCACCCAAACTCCCCCCGCTTTCGGGCTAGGCAGGCTTGCTTCAAAGCTTTGAGCTTTTTTGGGCTGAGGTTTTTCCCTTGTTGGTGTTCCAAGTAGGACTTCCGGCCATTGACCTTGCCTGGCAAGCCCGCTGCCTTCATTTTGGCAGCCTTTGCTTTCAGCCCTTCCTGTAAACGATAAACAATGGTGTCCCTCTCAAACTCCTGCACTGCGGCCATGATCCTGCGCTGGAAATTCTCCGCAGGACTGGCTGTGCTGCTGAAGAGCGTTGGAGGCAGGTCCGCCACGACAATGTGCGTTCCAGTGCGTTTGGCCTCCTCATAGATCTCTTCAATGGCACTGGTCTTCCGCCCCAAGGCCCTCAAACTTTCCACATAGATGTGACTGAAGCCACCGTTGAGCAAGGACTGAAGTTTCTTCCTGTCTTTTAGGGGGAGCATGCCTGAGATGCACTCAGAAACACGCTTGGCACCTTTGTAGTCCTTGCCTTGCACGGCCTTCAAAGCCTTGAGACTTGCCCGGAACTGCCTGTTGCCACTGTCGCCTTTCAAGTTTGTCTTTGTGGATGTTCGGGTGTATATGGCAGTTGCAGTCTTGGCCATGGCTTGGTGACTCAGAATCAGAACTCTGTGACTCAGTTGCTCTGAGCTCAAGTCGGTGCTAGCGGCGAGCAATGGCGGCCCCCCAGCCAAAGTGGCACTTTCCAGATGTCCTCAAACCTGGAAGAACAACAGCCCGTGAAGCAGAAAGTGCCAGGCCAAAGCCCCTTGCCCCAGGCAGAGTTGCCACAAATCCCGGAGTTCCAGAGGTCTCAGGGCAGAGTCAGTGTCAAGAAGCTGCTCAAGAACAAGATCATGCCCAAGCTGAACAAGCCCAAGCTGAACAAGTCCCAGAACCCTCTTCCGTGAAGCTTGAGGCCACTGACTCAACACCGCTCCCTACACCAGAAGACCCTGACACCCTGGTGCCTGCAAGCCCCGCCGGCGAGGAGCCAGAGGTGAGCGATGCCGCAGGAACATCTCCGGCAAACTCTGCCTTGGGCCGCGACAGCGAGAAGAACGAGGCCGGCAGGCAACTGAAACCCGAGAGTGAGCCCGTGAGCCCAAGTCCAGATTTTAGGGTTGCAAACACTTTCGTGTGAAGCATCTTTCTGTTCGCCTGCTAGCGCCAAAACATGGTTCCCTTGATTGTGTCAGGACAACCTGCCGGAGCTGCCTGGCAAGCCGGAGGAGGCAAAGGAGGAGGCGGATCCCAAGGAGGCCGAGAAGCCCCACGAGCCTTCTGGGCCCCGGGCCCAGCACCGCCGTCGGCGCCGACGATCCCCATCATCCTCCTCAGAGACACAGACAATCAAAATCAACCTGCGAGTGACGTTCAAGAAGAGACGCGGCAGCCGCAGGTGGGAGGTCTACAACATGGGGTGGGGGCCACGCTGAGCCTCTGAGTCTCTGAGGCTTGAGTCCCGAGCCACAGTTTTCTGAGCGCCTGGCCAGCAGAGGAAGGTCCTCTGCCAAGCACCTTGCCTCAGGTTAAGTCTCTTTTCCACCGTGCAACGTGGCAGGCCAGTGGCAGAGTGCATGAGTGCTGAGTCACTGAGGCAGCTGTCAAAAATTACTGCTGCAGCTATCGCAGGTCGTCTTTGGGGGGGATGATGGAGAGAAAGCGGTGCCCTAAACAGTTGGGAAAGCATGTTATGTCGATTTTGGACTGTTGGGAGCCAATTGGATAGGGATTTATGACTTATTTGTCTACACAACTCTGGCCCAGTGGACACTGCGTGTGGCAAACAGTTTTCCATTCAAACGCACATCATCCAAAACCGACAACGTTGACGACCTGTTGCAGAACAGCATTTCCAAAAGCACACCATCCAGAACCGACATTTTGCAAAACAGGTTTCAAACCCAACGCACACCATCCAAAACCGACAAATTTGTGGAATCATCCAAAACCAACAACATTGTGTAGAACCAAGTGGTTAACGTTTTTTCAAGAAGCCCCGAACATGTTTGCAACCGCTTTGGATGAAGGAGTCACTGGCCTATCTCACAATTCTTTGGCAACATAAGCTTGGCTAGCTAAAAAAGTTGTTGGTTTTGGATGGCAGGGGCTGCAGGCAACACATCCTTAACAACACAATTCCAAATCATGATGGCAAATGGGACCATGCCCCACCTAAACCCAACAACTTGTTTGGCACCCTTTGGAGGACACTTTCTCAGCAAGGACGCCCCCCTGCTTTGGCCTGAGCTTTGAAAGGTTTGGACTCTTGGGGAAAACCACTTTTGCCCACAGTTTCTCATTTTGGGGTGTCAAATGGCTTTGAATTGCGACGGCCAGGCGCCAAGTTCAAGAACGAGCTAGCTGGCACGCCCCTGGCCTGTTTGCATGCACCAGCTGTGCACTGCTGCAGCTTTTTGAACAAGACCGAGGGGCAAAACCCATTAACTTTGAAGTCTGCTTGAGCCTGCAGAAAACTCCCTTCTATTTCCCCAAATGCAATTTGAGAGCAAAACCCATTTACTTTCAAATCTTTTTAAACCTGATGAAAACTCATTAACCCCAAAAAAGTTAATGAATTTGGGATGAATCTGCCACGAACCACCCCCCCAAAATGAGAGGCAAACAAATGGCACTATCGCCCCCCGATAGCGCCATTTCTCTCAAGCAAAAATGGGGGTGCTGCCATTTCTGATACCCTAGATGATGAAGGTCTCGAAATGGCAGCACCCCCATTTTTGCTTGAGAGAAATGGCGCTATCGGGGGGGGATAGTGCCATTTGTTTGCCTCTCATTTTGGGGGGGTGGTTCGTGGCAGATTCATCCCAAATTCATTAACTGTTTTGGGGTTAATGAGTTTTCATCAGGTTTAAAAAGGTTTGAAAGTAAATGGGTTTTTATCTTTCTTCAGAAACGAGGAGTTGACTGCAGGCCTAAACACACTTCAAGAGTTACAGGGTTTGGCCCCTCAGTGAGAACATGATGACTTCTTGCCAAGTCATTCATTCGTGCTGTGCGTTGGCGAAGCTTGCTTGCCTTGCACACCTGCAGCTCTGGCTGACAGCCAGGCACCACCAGCCAGAGTCCCTTTGGTCCCTGAGTCAGAACATTCTAGTCGGGAAGCAATGGATGCTTCCTTGAAAGCAGTGGTGGGCAAGTTTCAGTCATGGATGGTCGATGCCTTTGGCGGATCTGGCGACCCACAGCTGCCGGACGCTGTCGAGATCTGCCCCTCAGTTGAGTTGAGTAAAGTTTCTCAGAAATGGACACCAGCTGACTAGGTTGACCTGCTTTTTGGCCCCAGGCGACTACTTCCAGTCACACTTCGGGGACAACTCGGAAGCCCTCACAACCATCTTCAAGAGCGTCATGCACAGAGTGGAGCAAGTTGACCCCACATTCACATATTCCCGCAAGCCTGTTGCAACCAATGTCCCTGATGTACCAGAGCTTGGAGAATCCCTAGAGTTGAATTTGATGCCATGGCATCTGAGCTTCGACCCCAGCTTGTCTCTGAAGGGCAAGTCCAAAATGGTGTACATCAAGACCTGTGTCACTGACTTCCTGGAGCGGCCCTACAACTCGATGGAGAACCCGATACACGTGTTCTTTCCGAAAAAGTGCAACACACCCGGGCAGGCCATTCAGAGCTACGGAGTGGGACATGGCATCGGGTTTGCCAAGAGCCTTGCCATCAAGATGCTCCTGCTGGGTGTGGTTCAGATGCAGCTGTCCGACGCAGAGCTCAAGGTCATCGCTCCGCAGCTGAAGGCATTGTTCAGCTTCCGCTGCCTCTACAAGACTTTGGGGGACGAGAAGCAGGACCGCATCCAGTGCCTGAAGGACAAGTTTGGCGAGGCTGCCCGGCCGCGGCCAGATTGCATCCAAGTCTGCACCATTTTGCAGGCCCAGGCCAGGGAGGAAGGTGCGCAGTGGGAGCATGCTGCAGCTCGCATGATCTCTGAATTCAACAAGGGTAGCACCAACGAAGTCAAGCAACTTTCAGACTTGGAGATGTGCATCGTGAAAGTCCTGCCATCGATTGAGGAGGACACCCTCAAGATGATCGACTACCATTGGCAGAACCATGCCATAAAGACCAGCGCCTTGCCATACAAAGTGCTGGCCACTGACGCATTCATGAGTGGGTCAAAGCCAAAGCCAAGCCAGGACTCCAAGCTTTGGCGTGACATCCTCAGCTTGAGCAACGAGAAGCGGCACTGGTACATCACACGCAAGATCAGGCTCTACCTCTTCAAGATTGCGGATGCGAAGCGGCTGAGGAGGAAGGTCAGCCCAAACAGCATCCGTGACGAGAGGGACAACGACAGTGCTTGGGCAATCGCTTGCATTTTCACGCATTTCCAAGAGGCCTGGAGCGGCCTTGTCACTCAGAGCTCCTTGCAGCGCCTCCAGGACAACTTCTGCCGGGGATACCTTGACACTGAGCTGCTTGAGAAGTACCGCCTGATGAACCCCAGTCTTGCTGCCACGAGCTTCCGGTTCTTGGCGGAAGTCGGCTACCAGGCCGGATGGTGAGGGAAAGGGGGCATGGCAAGGGATTGCTCAAACGCTTGTTGTTTGCAGGGAGACCGGAGTTCCGAGTCCCAGAAGACAGAGGTCGAGCTTGCCGCTGACCTGCAAAAGGCCGAGCTCGCCCAGACCAAGGCGCGCCTGCTGAAGGAGCAGCGGCAGTGGATGCAGTTCAACGAGTCTTTGGAGGAGTTCAAGCTGGCCACCGTTGGGATGAAGCAGGAGCACGTGGACAAGCAACGTGATGTGCAGCGAGCGGCCATAGAAGACTTTGCAGACCTCTTCTTCCCCGTGAGGGACCTAGCAGAGATCTCGCATGGCCTCACCTTTGCGGAGGCCAGCATCCACAAGTGCTGCGGCAAGATGTCGGCGCCGCAGGAAGCAGTCTTCAAGGTGTATTGGCTGAACTCCGCAGTGCTGGGCTATGATGCAGTGCTTGGAGTCTCCGAGGCCGTTGCAGAGTACGCAAGCCATGTGGCAAGCAGCCCAGCGAGCTCGTGCATTCTGGTTGCCGCTCCAACAGCAGGCGCTTGGGGGAGCAAGTACCATGAGACTGCAATCGTTGAGGCCACAGAGAAGGTGCGCCAGTTGCTGCAGCACAGCGAGCGCAGGCTGCTGGTTCGGGAGGTGTGCCTGCCCTTCCAAGTTGACAGCATCCAGGCACAGTCAAAGCGGCCAGGAATGCACAAAATTTTCCTTTGCGTTTCTGACCAGTGTGATGCATCCGGCCAGCCGGTCTCCAAGTTCACGCAGTCCCAGCTTTGGAAGAGACAGATTGTGGCTGGGAGCATCAAGGTCCCGATGGCTGCAGTGAAGCAGATGGTTGACCCGCGGAGGAGCTTCGTGGGTGCGTCTGGGCTGGCAGACAACTTGAGCAAGCCGTCGCGGAGGAAGCAGTGGCTTGCTGGCTGGCAAGTAACCGCTGCCCTGCAGGAAGCCTTGTGGTCTGGCATGGGCCAAGTGCTTCCCAAGGCAAGCATGGCTGCTTGGGTGGACGTTTTCATGTACGACCATTTTGCAGCCGAGGGCCTGATGCGGGCAATGGACAACCCGGCCAGTCCCGACATGATGTACATTGGGCTGGTGTGGGCTGACATGAGCTCCCGTGATCCCTCCAACTCTGGCGCCCAGCGAACCTCCGCAGAGGTCGGTCAAGACAACGCGAAGATCTGCAAATGGGTGAGGAAGCAGATTCGCCGAAAGCTGCAGGGCTATGCCACTGAAGGGGCGTTGAGTGTACCTGGCTGGGAGCCCATCACCGGGTTTCAGGAGACACGGGCTGTCCCACAAGTGACAGAAGCCGACTTCACACTGACCTACCCGGCAGCTTCCAACTTGCTTCCTCTGCGCAGCTGCATCTTGGAGACTCTTGCCAACAAGTTCACTCACGGTGATGCGGCAGCGGCTTGGGCAGAGCTGGTCAGTGAACACAATGCTGTTTGGAACCCTTCTGGCACCCCCCATGAGGAAACCAAAAAGCGAGCGGCGTCAGAGGAGGCAAGTGGCCACCACCCCAACAAGAAGGCCAAGGTGTTGGAGTCCAAGGCAGGGCAGCCAGCCTCTCTGGAGGAGCTCATTGCGCAGAAGGGCGCTGTGGTTGACTTGACAGAGACGGTGTCCAACGCCCATCTCTTCTTCACAGATGATGGGGAAATCTGGGCTCTGGCTGACTCTGACACCACCTTGTCTGACCGTGGCCCGCCTCTGGCTCTCGTGTACGGGACGTTCAAGCTCAACGAGGCGGGTTGGGGCATCTGACTCCGTGCGCAAGGTGTTTGAAGTTTATGGAGTTGCTTGTTTCGCTTGGCAGGAAGCAAGCACGGCATCCAAGAAGAGCTCCTGCTTCCGTGCCACCTTCAACAGCGACACTGAGGAAGCGGTTTTCCGCAAGGCAGCCGACTCCGCCAAAGAATGCAAGCTGCGGACATTGCGCAGCTGGCTCAATGAGCAGGAGCAGCTTGGCTGTGACATCCAGGCAGTGGAGTTTGCCTGCCACTCCCTGAAGCCAGGCTCGGAGAAGGACAGAAAGTTGACGCGTGACATGGATTCTCGCAGTAGTTTGTGTGCCCACTGCTTGCCTTTCTTTGCTAGGACAGCGCCGGGGACACCACAGGGCGGGTCTATGAGGTTCAGGTGACGGACCCCTGTGTGTTCCTCCCTTCACGCACGCCGCGCAAGGTTGGGAGCGCAAAGGCCCCTGACTGGGAGGATGCTGGAAGCTTGTCTGTCAGTGGCCAAGCCACGAAGAACTGGAATCTTGAAGAAGGTACGCATAATTCAGGCAACCTTTCACTGAAGCACCGCTGGCTGTACAGTGACGGAGAGCAGGGGCAAACATGCAACCCTGAGAAGCCTGGCTTGTTCCCGAGTGTGCCGTTGCAGCTGAAGCAGGGCATTCTGGTGCAGCTTGCGTGATCTGCTGGCCCAGCAATTTCATGGCGCAACTCGGCTTTCCAGCGCTGAGTCCCTGAGCGCAGACTCAGAGTCAGAGCTGGGTTTTGAAAGCTTGGCGAGAGAGAGAGCTTGCGTGTCACAAAAAGGATTGAGCTGCACCTCTGTGTCTTGTTTTGCCTCATGTCGTCTTCCTAGGTTTGGCAGGCATTGCGCAAACAACATTTCGCCAGCTCAGAGTGTCAGAGGCCCCGAGACTCCGAGAACCGAGAAGCTGCCATGGCATCTTCGGACTCTGGTGGCGAGGACTGGATGGAGCTGTGCCAGGAGCCGGCTGCCAAGCCTGCCGTGAAAGAGCGCGCAGCGCCACCGGCAAAGCTTGCGACAGTGCCTGTCAACAAGGGTCAGCCCACCATGCCTCGCAAAGAGGCATCGTCCGCATGGAAAGCATGGATGCAGCCAAGGCCTGGATCCAGCGAGCTGGGGCACACTGAGACTCCACCACCCAAAGCCAGAAAAGACAAGCAAGCTTGGGAGAAGCACATGGCGGCAGCGGCACAAGCCGCCAAAAAGGCAGCTGAGGCAGCTGAGGCGTCCGTGCGGCTGGCACACATGGCTGCGCAACAAATGGCCCAGACCATGGCCAACCGAGTTGCAGCAGGCTCCCGGACCAGCCGCGCGCCTAACAAGGCTGAGCAGCCCACCCCGCCAAAACACTCACCACCGGCTGCTCTGCCAACAGAAAGTCCTCAGCAGGCAAATCCGTTGAAAAGAGCTTTGTCCTTCCAAGCAGAGACACCTGAGCAAGCTTCTCCAGAGGAGCCACAGCAGGAACCAACCAAGGAGGCATCGGCGGGGTCAGCGCCTGGCAAGGGTAAGAAAGACAGGGCCGCTCGATTCACCGCTGGGACATTTGCAGGGAATCGGCCACCAGCCAAAGCAGATCTGCGCGAGACGTTTGATTTGAAGAAGAAGGTGTTTGAGGAGTGCAGGGATGAGCTGGTGAAGAAGTACCCAGGCAAATGCGGCATTCTTGGCAAGACGAAGGCGCAGACAGCTTACTGGACCTTCTTGCAGTCCCACATTGGCAAGACCAAGGCCAAGAGCAAGACCAAGATGTCTCAAGCAGAGGCGCGCGACTGTGTTCGTGAGGCCAGCCAGCTTTGGAAAGCGCAGATGGAAAAATCTCTGTGCAAGAAGAAGTAGATTTTGTGACATTCGTTCACTGTGGGTTTCAGCCACTTTGCAGCTCAGAGGTCAGAGGCTGACTTCGGAGCCCCAGAGTGCAGGGGTGGGGCAACAGTCGCAACGAATCGAGAAGGAGAAAGGCTTTTGCAAGTGTCCGTCTCAGTTGTGCATGTGCCTTGCGTTTGCGCCTTGGGTTTTCTTGTGTGTTCGCAGCAATTGAGCAAAGTTTTTGTTGCCATGGCTAGCTGGAACCATGCCCGACTGGACGCGGCCCTCGCTGTGCAGCGAGAAAGCCCAGACAGCTGCCAGTACTTGGCAGCAGCCATGCGTTGGAGCTTCGCCTCCGCCCCCAGCAAAGAGGGCAAAGTGCGCAGCCAAGCCAGCTGTGAGTTGGCAAACGCCGCCTGTGACCAGCCAAAGCCAAGGCATGATCGTGGCCAGCAAGCCTCTCTGGACAAGTCCAAGGCCAGACTCTCTGGGATCTGAGTTCCAGAGTCCCAGAAACAGACCGATCGGCCCAATGGAAGCAGTGCCTGAGGTTCACCTCACGCTTGGCATGGCAATTCTTGCTGGGGGGCAGTTTGGTTTGACGTCGAGCGCTGACGCAGCAGCCATGGCAAAGGACGTGGCAGCTGAGCTGGCGCATGCATGCGCGTCCTCGCAAAGTGGCTCTGGGGCATGTTCTGTCTGCGAGGACGGGCTGCAGCTGCAAGATGTGATCGAGTTCCGCCGGGCCTATCACAACTTGGCTGTGGAAGGCAAGTCCTTCCTTCTGAGCACCTGCTATGCTGAAGGTTCAGCTTCCAGCGACTACACTCGTGTGCGCTGGCGCTTCCTGGGGAAGCGCGTTTGCACCCGCAGGCTTCTTAAGCTTCTGGGCACCAGCGCAAGAACTTTCACCAAGGCTGTGCAAGGCAGCATCGACAAGAGGCAGTTCAATGGAAGGCAGGCAACGGAAGCCAGCATGTCAGTGAACCAATTCTTTTTGGAGGTGTACCACTCAGCTGCTGAGTTTTTGCCAGAAGACCCCTCGTGTCACGTCACCAATGTGGACGCCAGCATCAACGCAGATGAGCTGGAGGGAGCGCCCGCCACTGCCAGCAAGCCAGCCTGTCATCCGACCCTGCCTTTGTTGGGCTGGGACCCGAGCGAAAGCATGGTTCAAGACCTTGGTGCTGCAGCTCTTGGCAACCCTGAGCCACTGCCCACCAGATACGTGCAGCACTTGAAGCCCGTGGACCTGTGGTGGCAGTATCTGGCCTGGGCGCTGGTGCGGTGCCCGCAGAGCAAAACTGCAAGCTGGAGCACCTTTTGGCGAGCCTGGCAGTCGAGTTTCTTGGCAGGTTTGTGAGATTCGTTCTTTTGTATAAACTGTGTTTTCCAGCCGATTTGAGTAAGGATGGAGGCATTCGATTGGGCTCCGAAAGGTCTGCCAACACAGCCAGTGCAACCAGTGCTTCGAGCACTCGCAGTTCATACATAGCAGCGGGGCTCCATCTGCAGAGAAACACCTCCGAGCCCGGGCATGGCAAGAGCACCTCCGAGCGCAGTATAAGGACCGTTTGATTTACTGGGCACCCGATGGCTGTCTCGGAGGCCTGATTCAGAGTCCCGAGTCCTGTGCATCATCATCGATGGCCTCGACAAGAACAAAGGTGTTTGGCCACAGTATCGGTGGCGCAAGCCAAAGGTCTTGGACAAATTCAATCGTCCCCGCATCACGGTCCACGCAGCGATGGCGCACGGCTACACCTGTGACTTCTACTTGGCAGACGATGAGGACTTCTTCCATGGTGCTTCGTTCTTCTGCGAGGTGCTCACCCGCACCCTGGCCAGAGTTCAGAGGATTGCAGAGGGCAGAGGGCAGCGCATGCCGGAACACTTGGTAGTGCAGTCCGACAACACAACTGCACAGGCCAAGAACGCGGAGGTCTGTAAGTACTTGGCCGTTCTGGTGCGCAAGTTCAGATTCAAAAGCGCAGTTCTCAATTTTCTTCGGGTTGGGCACACGCATGAAGACGTCGACTTCCTCTTCAGCATGCTGCTGGCGCTGGTCCTTCGCCGTGTCCGCTTTCAGGTTCCGGAAGAGCTGCGCTTGGCTATCTTGAGCCTGACCTGCATGAGGGCGCACCGCTGTAGGGTTTTCTTCTTTTGAGACTTTGCGCATGATGCCGCAGCTGAGGACTGGCATGTCAGCCATCGTGGCCGGCAAAGGCTATGACTTGCACTGCGAACTCATGTCCCACGTGCGCAACTTCAAGGAGTGGATGGACCCTATGTGTGTGCACCCGCATAACTGCTGGAGAGCACGGCAGGGGATAGAGAGCCCTCATTCCTTTACCTTCAAGCTACGCATGGACTTGACGCAAGCAGAGTTCTCTTGGCTGCAGCAGAGTCCAACAGATAGGGGGTGGCCCGCGCATGAGCTGGACGTTTTCGTTGTTGTCAAGCACTACATGGCAAGCGAGTCTCCGAATGGCCCACCCGTCCTTCTGATTCCAAACTCGCGCTACCTTCGCATGCAGCAGGCTGCCCCTCAAGGCAGCTGCTACGCCACGCACCCCATGAATGAAAAGCGCCGGAAGGAGCTGCGGAAACTGGCAGAGGCTTTGGAAACCTTGTCTAACGAGTGGGCCGCCGAACATTCCTACTTCCGAGCAGCCAGAGAGCTGCGCCTGCTCGCAAATGGGAGGGACGCACTTCGCTCCACTGATGGGTTCCTGGAGGCAGCCTCTGCTGACAGGCGTGCGGCGCTGGAGCCTTCTGCCGCAGCCTCAGTAGCGTGCTTTGACAAATTTACATGTTGTGATTGCATGGCACTTTGCCAAGGACAACCCCTACTTTCGAAATCTGCCGGGGGTGTCGTGGCAAATGCTTGTCAAGTTCAACTGAGAGCTGACTGCCAGAGTGCTGACACGCCCAGGAGTGAAAACGGTAATTGGTGCATTTTGCGGGAAGGTTTTGCAGGGCATTGGTTTGAGCCACCGTTTCTTGTGCACTTCAGGCTGAGCGTTAGGAAATAGTTTCAGAGTCCCAGAGGCTCTGAGGCCCAGGTCCCGTGACGCCATGGCCGCCTTGTTTGGCTTGACTGCCCTTTGCATCCTGCAGAGCACGGACTTTGCCGGGATTCCACGCAACCTAGATGTGGCAGAAGTGTTTTGCGGAGTGGGCAGCATTGCACTTGCTGCCGAACGCGCCGGCTTCGCTGCTGGAAGGTTTGACAAGCATCGCGTTGGCGGTTGCACAGATCAGGACCTAGGGATGTCTGAAGACATGACAACCAAAGACGGCTTCTTCCGGGCAGTGCGCCTGGTCATGCGCCTGCGTGAAGGGGGGCTTCTTTGGCTGGCTCCTGTTTGCTCTTCATGGGTTGGACTGAACATTTCACGGACCAAGCGCAGCTCTGCAAACCAGTTCAGGGGCAACCCAATCTATGCTCCAGTCGCACTTGGCAACATCATGGCGCTGGCCTGTGCCATCCTCATGGAAGTGGCTCACCGAAGAGGCGTGCAAGTTGTGATTGAAAACCCTCCATCAAGCACCTTGTTCAGATTTCCGGCTTTGGAGCAGGCCTTGGGCCGGCTAACGGCCTTTGTGTGCACCACCTGCCGCTGTGCCTTCGACAAGTCCAAAGACGGCACCAGGCTCTGGAAGCAGTACAAGCTTGTGGCATCAGCTGGCTGGATCAGACAATTGGCAAGGCAATGCCCATGCAAGAGCCAGAAGCACCAGGCTTTGACTGTGACATGGACAAACTCTGCAGGAAAGAGGTGCTTCAAGGGTGTCAAGAGACGGCAAGGTGACGTCCCGTGGGACGCTATGCACCGAACCCTCAA